ATGTGTATCCAAAGAGCTAGTAAGTAACAAATAAACTAGCTAGCTCATAAGGTTTATTATGTACAGTTAGAATGTCATATTGTTGATAGCATTGATGCTAGTTATTTTGCTTAATGCCCTTTTTTTTATAATGCTGAAATAAGTTAAGAAATGTTATTTTTCTTGTTGACTTATGTAAGATATAGTAAATGTCTTCCAAAAACCACATAAAAGTGGTTGTGTCATGTGTGCATGTCTTTTGGAGGTTGCCCACTTTACATAATGTTGCGAACCCAAAAGGCTATATTAACAAAAGGTAAAAAGAGGATAGTGTTCATCATAAATTAATAATTAGTTTTATGGGCACGTAATTTTTTTTATTAGGGTTTGTATAGAGGTGGTAGGTAGAGAAAGGGAAGAGGTGAATCTTTATTTGCATGGTCAAAGAATTTAAGGTAGGGGCGAAAATCTTTATTATGCAGAAGATAACATGGAAGGTTTTCTCTTTTGTATATTGTGTGCTCACTTATTTCTAACAATATGTTTTTCGATTTATTGCTAGTTTGTGCATCAATTGTATATTCTTTGACAACGTACAAGTTAAAAGTTAGAGGTGACAATACAAGTTTCTTTGTGGAGCCTAAATGTAAATCAAGGAACAACCAACCGTCACCTGTAATTTTGCTGCTGAAACAGGATAGCTACATTAGTATGATATTGTCCGTTTTGGGTAAAACCCGCACAAATGTACTTTTGGGCAACCTCCCTAAAAAGACTCGTGCTAATAAGTTTAGTGGACACTGATATATTATGGTCACTTCCCTTGCATTTTTTATGTGCTTCTTAGATTGTACCATAACAATTCTCCTCTCAAGACAAGGATCACGAACTTTGTGTCATTCTTTAGCGATTATCTTGAACCGCCATACCATATATAGATCACCTTCGATATACCAGACTAACGCGGATCTCCCTTGATCCACTAAACTGATGCAGATCTCAAATCACAATGTCATTGATTGAGGGTCCCATCGAACTGATGTTCACCACCATGGACCGAATCCGACCATGCTCTAATGCCATTTGTTGAAATCTGATGGTTCCATTAGTACGATATTGTACACTTTGCACTAAACCCACATGCATGGATTTACTTTTGGGTATCAATATCATATATCTTCCATACAAGGCTAATTGTACTTATGAGTTTAGTAGTCACTAATATACAAGAGTCATTTCCCTTGTGTTTTTTATGTAGCATTTGAATTGTACCATAACACTTGCCAAATAGGAAACGAAACAAATTATAAGTCTATTATTAAAATTATTAAGTATAGCTATCATTGTGTAATTGTAAATTAGTCATTTATTGTCTAACGTATTAGGGTTTGTATCAGATATCACGTTAAATATTGGTGTTTTTGTGTTCAATTTTTAGCTTCTTTTTACACTAACTGGCATCCCTATTAAACATGCACAATCATTTTATTACCTGCGACAGACTTTTTTTATTTATGACGAGGAACACCCTCCACGGTCACCATCGTCGGTGATGTCGTAGTCGGACCAAACCCCGGGACCTATGCCAGTAATCCGAGCAAATGCGGAATGCCTACGGGAACACCATGGCAGCAGTGAGGATCGAACCTGGAACCTCTCAGTCACCAGTCCGCCTCCCTTACCACCTGGCTAAATGACCTTTGGCCTGTGACGGACTTTTGTTTGTACCAAACACGGGTATTGTAGTTCAAATACGTACATTGTGTAGCCACGAACCAGTGATCATTCATTGTATGTGTAAGGAAGTGGTTAAGCACCATACATGAGCATGTATAAGATCCAACATAACCTTCTCCCAACAACTCGAGTTATTGGGACCAAGTGGTTAGTTCGCTAACATGGTCTCAGAGCTGGTTTGTCGGTGAGGTCACATGTTCAAGTCCTCACGACCCCCAATATTAATCGTTGTCTTTCAAGCACATGGTATGGCGGGCCTGTGCAAACTTTCAAGCCTATGAGTCGGCTTTCGTTTGAGGGGGCGTGTTAGAGTATGGTATAAGATCCAGCATAACCTTCTCCCAACAACTCGAGTTATTGGGACCAACTGGTTTATGACATGGTATCAGATTTGATTTGTCCTTGAGGTCACGTGTTCAAGTCCTCACGACCCCCAATATTAATCGTTGTCTTTCAAGCACATGGTAGGGCTGGCCTGTGCAAACTTCAAGCCCATGAGTCGGCTTTCGTTTGAGGGGGCATGTTAGAGTATGGTATAAGATCCAGCATAACCTTCTCCCAACAACTCGAGTTATTGGGACCAGCTGGTTTATGACATGGTATCAGAGTTGATTTGTCCTTGAGGTCACGTGTTCAAGTCCTCACGACCTCCAATATTAATCGTTGTCTTTCAAGCACATGGTAGGGCTGGCCTGTGCAAACTTCAAACCCATAAGTCGGCTTTCGTTTGAGGGGGCGTGTAAGGAAGTGGTTAAGCACCATACACGGGTCTGTATAAGATCCAACATAACCTTTCTCCCAACAACTCGAGTTATTGTGACTAACTGGTTTATGACATGGTATTATATCTGGTTTGTCCGTGAGGGCACATGTTCAAGTCCTCACGACCCCCAATATTAATCGTTGTCTTTCAAGCACATGGTATGGCGGACCTGTGCAAACTTCAAGCCCATGAGTCGGCTTTCGTTTGAGGGGGCGTGTAAGAAAGTGGTTAAGCACCATATATGAGCCTGTATAATATCCAACATAATCTTCTCTCAACAACTCAAGTTATTGGGGCCAAGTGGTTATGAGAAAGAGAGGGGAAAAATGGGGTTTGAAGGGTCGATTTTCTTTCTGTGGGCAATGGGATCGATGGCTATGGCTCCCTCACTCGTGTAGCATATGGAGTTTTGGGTGGACACTACTCTCTCTTCCATCAGCACTGATCAGTGATCAGCAACGCTGTCATCAGCTGAATCATATGCTCTTTGAGAAATTAAGAAGGTGAAAGGAAGAAAAGAAAAAAAAAACAGACAACTAGCTGGAATATAATTGCTAGCTAGAGGTTGATCTAACATGATGAAACGACGCTGACCCTTCCCTCACCAGAGCCGACCGCCTTTTTCTGTGTTACATATGTGTTTGTCAATTGACATTAATGACATATTTGACGCTAACCGGCCTATAATATATATACATAGTCGGCATCCACATGGCAATTTTGGTTGCTATTGTGATAATTCGGCAATTTCTGCATTCATATACTTCACGTATAAACAGCTTATGATTTGCATGCTCCATCAACATATATATGCTACAACGATCATAGTGATCTTGTTGATGTGGAGACAAATTAATTAAATATAGGTGCACATCTGTGTAGTATGGGTCATGTTCTCTAGTAACATCATACATCTAAGGTCAACTTCCAATAAGATATGGATCCTCATACCCATAATGGTAGAAAATATGATTGATTGTTAATGTCTACTGTCTAACTATATCACTTGCTAAGATTTAGTAATGATACTTTTCATATTTGTTCTTACTAACTTGTGTCAGGAGAAAAAAAAGGTAGAATACAATATTCTAGTAAATACTTAATTTTTTCGTGCAATTCCTTCAACTTATCATGCAATTCAATGTATATTTACTCAAATAACTTATCTTTTCAGATAATCTAGCTACTTATAACCATCAATAATCTTTTCCATTAAATCTCATCAGACATCAATCAATCATCGATCTTACCAACAACTTGCTACGACTTGACTTGATTGGAATCAAATTTTCTAATCAACATACATGAACCACTTCAAAGTGGACTATATATATGTGTGTGCCCAAAGAGACTAGACAATAGATATCTTCTCGAAGTTGTGAGCCCAAAAGTAAACGGTAAGCATAATAACTAACTTGGTAATTATTGAACTAGGACTAATAAACCGAAAGGTTAACTTAATATAGGGATCTCCTACAGTAACTTGGGTATAATTTTAAGTTAGGTAACTTGCATAGATCTAAACCGTTAAAATCGATCAAATTTATTTTAAACCATTGATTAAAGAAATAAAAAATAAAAAATAAGTAAAAAAAATCAATGGCAACATGGGTTGCCGGTGGCCACAAAGCAAGTTACCTTTCTTGTTTTTTTTCCTTTCCTTTTTCATATTTATTTGTTTTTTCTTATTTTATCCTTTCCTTATTTTAATTCTGATTAAAGTAGAAGCGTTACGAAAGGCTTCCGTAATAACTTAGCACTTTACGTAACGTGAGATTAATACTCATTACGTAAAGAGACCTTCCATTACGTAAAGGTTACGGAACGATAGTTATTTCTTACGTAACAGTGAAATCGAAAGCGTTACGTAAAGCTTCCGTAATCATTTAGCTTTTTACGTAACACGACATTAATACTCATTACGTAAAGAGACCTTCAATTACGTAAGGCTTCCGCAATGACATTTTACAACTGTTACGTAAAATACACATTCATTACGTAAAGCTTACGTAATGACTTAACATTTTACGTAACACGAGGTTAATACTCATTACGTAAAAAGACCTTTCATTACGTAAAGGTTACGGAACGACAGTTATTTCTTACGTAAAAGTTAAATCAGTAGGTTACGTAAGGCTTCCGTAATGACTTAGCATTTTACGTAACGCGAGATTAATACTCATTACGTAAAGACACATTATATTACGTAAGACTTCCGTAATGATCTTTTACAACTGTTACGTAAGATTACCATATGTTACGTAACCGTTACGTAATACCTATTATATTTTACGTAATGCGACCTGTGAAACCTCCTATAGCAGGTAAAAAAATTCAAGTTACCTTACTTCAAGTTATTGTAGGAAATCCCCTTAATATATAGTACAATCATAAATACATTATTATCAGTTTTAACACTTTTAATAGATAAATAAATAAACATAGCTGGATGGAAAAGAAGGCTATACATATATATGTGGAGGTGAAAGGTATATAATAATGATGCCATGTGCAAAGTATATAATTTTCCTTTTCTTTGGGAAGGAATCACAAGGAGAGCCTTCAATATTATTTATTTATTTGACTGAACTTTCTTCCTCCCCTTCTCTGCCCAATCTTTTCATTTACAGGCAGCCCAGCCAGCTTCTCTCTCAATCTCTCCCCATCTGTCTTTCTTCATCCTCCTCAGCAGCAGCAACAACTTAATTTCAAGTTTCATATATAGCTATATATGTAGAGAGAGAGAAGGAGTTAGAGTGAGAGGAAGACAGGTAGTAGTAGCTTAAGTTAAGTTTAGCTAGTTACGCGTCCCAAGTGATTAGAGCTTTGCTGGTTGGTTTGGATTGGTGGAGCGGTTAGGTCGATAGGAGTATGGGAAGATCGCCATGCTGTGATAAAGTAGGGTTGAAGAAAGGGCCATGGACGCCCGAAGAGGATCAGATGCTCTTGGCTTACATCGAGGAGCACGGCCACGGTAGCTGGCGAGCTTTGCCTTCCAAAGCAGGTAATTAAGTGCTGATTAGACTAGTAGAACCAACCAGCCAACCTTATTTTTATTGTATATATGGGCTACTGACGATACTTTCCATCTCTAATAATGTGGTTCGTACTTGTGAATGTGAAGGTCTACAACGGTGTGGGAAGAGCTGCAGGCTGAGATGGACAAACTATCTGAGGCCCGATATTAAGAGGGGCAAGTTCAGTTTGCAGGAAGAACAAACCATTATTCAACTCCATGCCCTCTTGGGGAACAGGTGTACCCTTAGTATATAATCCTCTCCTTCTTCATCTTTCATTGCTTTGATAATTGCGATTCTAATTAAATTATGTGTGTTGTGAATTCATATGTTAGATAATTAAATTCGTTGATTTTTTTGCTCAAGTGATGAACTTTGGAGTATTCTAGCTTTTGAAGCAATCCTCTAACTCCCTTGTATAAATGTATTCTTCAAAACCTTGACTTCTCACCACTGTTCTCTTCACTAAAATTAATATAATACTTTTCACTTTCAATTTTGTCGTTTCGATGAGAAGGATGTCGGCAATATGTTCATCAACAACCCAAATCAATCCGAATTTTTTATCAGGTTGTGATTGAGGAGTCTTGTTTATTTATTAATTCATTTTTTGTAAGTAGTACAATAAGACACTTTTTTCACAATGTTTGTGTAAAGTAGAGGTTCCATAAATTCGAGTAAGCTATACAAGTGCCATCTACCCTTTAGTCTTGTCTATTCCATCTTCCCATTTTATATGAGTCCTACTCCATTAATTCACCACCAATCTACAAGGGCATATCAAGAAATAATATACACGTTCTTTTATACTTGCTAAAAATAAAATTGATGTTCTATATATATATATCTCTACTACTTCCTCCCATTTATTACAACCGAAAGAAACTACACACATTGTCGAGCTGGCTCAGTTACTATTCTTCAACTCTCATTTACTTCTCACTCTGACACCCCTATCCCAATAATGCAAAGTCAAGTTGGCTCCGTCGGTCTTCTTCCTATCACACAGTAATTTTTTTTTACACATTATGGTAAAAAAGAAAACTGAACTTATAATTTGTTTCTTCTTCTTCTGAACCTTTTTTATCATGATCTTTCAAGATGGTCAGCCATTGCGACACACTTGCAAAAGAGGACGGACAACGAGATAAAGAACTACTGGAACACCCACCTCAAAAAGCGGCTGACCAAGATGGGAATCGACCCGGTGACTCACAAGCCGAAGAACGACGCCCTCCTCACCACCCAAGCCGGCTCCAACTACTCCAGCTCCAAGAGCGCCGCCAACCTCAGCCACATGGCGCAGTGGGAGAGCGCCAGACTCGAAGCCGAAGCCCGCCTCGTCCGACAGTCCAAGCTCCGTTCCCACCCCTTGCTCGCCACCTCAGCTGCCGCCGCCCAGCTGGCAACCCGATCCACGTCGATCAAGTCTTGGTCCGCTAGCAGCAGTATCAACGTCCACGTGGATCTAGAGTCTCCCACGTCAACTCTCTCCACCACCACCGCCGCATTGCCGGGGAATCCGATTAGTAGTAGTGATCGTCATGAAGACGATCGTTCTCCGTCAATCCCGCACATGTTCGAGTTCATCAAGGACGTATCTCATCATCAACATGACGATGCGAGTGATGACTGGACAGTGTGCCAGCTGGCAGCTGACCATCATTCAGCAATAAATGATCATCATCACAATCACATTGCTGTTGCTAGTGGAGGTACGATTTCCTGCTGCAGCTCCATGGAAGCGGGGGGATGGACTCTCAACAATAAAGAGAGTAGTAATGGTGATGATGACGTGGCGGAGGAGGGTTTTATTAGTCTTTTGTTGTGTGATTCGACGGCGGCGGCGGCAGGTGGGGATCATCAAGAGCATGGAAGCAGCAGCGAGGTTAATAATAACTCGGAGATTAGTGGTGGTGGTGGTAATGAGAAGAATAGTAATAAGGATTCTTCGGAGAACAACAGCGGGAGTACGATGACGACGACTAATGAGCATGAGCATGAGTATTGCGAGGACAAGAACTACTGGAATAGTATTCTGAATTTGGTCGACACTTCTTCTCCCTCGCCCGACGGTGATGATACTCACATGTTTTAGGGTTATCGATCGCCATTGTTGTAGCTGTTTACTAGTTCGTAATTTGAACTCTCGTTAATTAATGTTGTTGATTGGAGGGGTTGAGTGAGTCAATTAGATATTCAATGGAGGTGTGTATGCACGGCTGCTGGTAATGTATTAATAAATCAGCTACCAACAATCAATATTACCCTTTTCAATATTGGACCACCATGATTAATAAATTAATTTGGTGGTCCTAGTTTATGAAGTTTGTTTTCCAGTTTTTTTTTATCTCATTGAAAATCAGGGTCTGCTTTTACTAATTAAAAAGAGGATAATTTTCGTGAATCGAATTTATAAAAGTGTTATATCGTACATATTCGAGTCTTTCGACTGATCAATTAAGGGAAATACCAATTCAGAATTTAGTTTTATGAAACCAGTAGGATTGGAGAATAATTTACTTGCTTTGGAATACTGAAACCTAATAGTGGTGGGCAATGGTAGGTTGGGGTGCGTTTCAGTTTTAAACTCAATCACCCGCTTATTAAAAGAGTTGGTGTAATCCATCCATACACTGCTTCAAGTAGGGTTGGGTGGGTGACGGATGTATGCGGTTAGATTGTGGGTTAATCTGCATACACAATTCTTCAACTAGTAATTAGGCAAATTGACTAACATTTATAATAAATTCATTGCAAATTAAGATTGCATAAATTTAGACACCTCCCACACTAATTTGTCTACTATGGAGATGTCTAGTATTTGTATCAAATCTTTCATTACTTCATCAACATATTATGTAGAGAAAGTACATTTTTTTTGGGACTTAGATACAATTAATAGGTATAATTTGTATTTCAATGTCTAATATATATTGCACAACATAGTGGCCATTAATACTCCCAAAAGCATTCTTTACCTTTCACATTTAGAAGTTGATAGTCTGTATGTAGAATTGATTAAGAAACACTATAACTATTTGTTAGTATAAATAAGAAACAACTATTCCTCATGTAAAGATGAGGTGCCGATCATTCGAGTCACCCACAGCCCACCCATCACATAAACCAATAAATGCTGGTAGGAAATTTATTGATATATAATTCACCCATATCAACCATCAATCTACTACAATTTGGGTGATTTGCAAGTGGATATCCATTCCAAACTGCGGATTTCCGACTCGCATGCTAGGGGTGGCTATACGGTCCGGTTAAATTAGCCCGAATTGATCCGGTCCCAGTCCGGTTTTTCGAGAATATAAGGACCAAAGATTGGATTAGATACAATCCGGTCTTGATACGGTCCGGTCCCAATTCGATCTTGATTTTAAATTGAACTTGTGGGAATTTGAGTGGCCTAAGGACTCAAAGAGTAAGGAGTGGTTAAGTTTTGGGTGTTGGGCTATCTTATCCGGTCTTTATCTGGTTTTTTTATCCGGTTTCAAACGATTTTTTACCTCAAATCTAAGCCCGAAGATTGTATTGGATTGTTTCCTATCGGTTTCGGTCCGGTCTCAGTCCAAGTTATACACTCTGATTTCGAGTAAAACCAAATAGCCCGGACCAAATAGGCAGCCCTACTGCCCATCCTAGGAAGAACCAAGTAATCTAAGGTAATCTGCAGGTGGGCTTAAGTAATGACCTAGATAAATCAAGCTAAGATTACTGGACTCAAACAATACAGAGCCCAATTTTATATCTAGCCCACACAAGTTTTATCCTGGGCCCGAGTCCAGTTATGGGATTAGAACGTTGCCATCATGTCGTGTATGACTTGGAAAATATCCAAATAAGGATTTGGCAAATTATACTTGCACCGTCTTAAAGTGAATGAGCTTTTAGAGAAGTATTTTTCAAAAATACAATCAATTGTTGGGTGAAAAATTATTAGAAATGTTTTAAATCATATATAATTGTGATTGTGAAGGCAATCTCATCTTATCTGATGAGATTGCCAGCAGATTTATTAGAAATGTTTTAAATCATATATAAATGTTTTAAATCATGTACGCAGCAGATTTATTTCTTAAGGGGAAAGGGGAATATGTATGCCTACAAATTAATTTCTCCATGCATGCCCTACCGTACCCACTTGGCAAGAGAGAATTCTTTGGTTGGCGTATTTTGCGGGCAATCCACATGCTAAGATCCAAGATTAGGGAACACTGATTAACAAATTGACTAATTAATTACTATTAAAAGTCTAAATCAGGTGCATTTTTGGAAAAAGATTTCCAGTTACAATCCCATTCCTTTTCTTGCTTCCTCCAACATCCTCTATCAAGCTTGCTGAATATTGATGAATAATAATGTAAATATATGACAAGTGCTCTAAAAAATAATGTTTCGTTTTTGTCTCTCTCATTGTCACACAGTATATATATTAATGTGAATAGTGTCTTAATTTGTTGATCTTGAACGTTGTTTTTATGAAGAGTAAGCCCATATAACATATGATGCTCTAAAACATACTGTTCATTTATTTTGTCTTTATCATTGTCGCAACACTATACTCATGTGTGTGAAAGTGTGGTCTTTGTTTCATCCATTTGTATAATTGATAGATTCCAATGGCACAAACAACTGCCCAAACGATATTACAGATTGGCAAAACCGCTTTTAATTATTTGCGCTGCAGGTTAGGCAGCCCAGATGTGTGTGCGTGAATACGTACGACAGTCAGTAGGTAAAGCATAGATTACTGATTAGTTTTACTGTATCACTTAATTAATTCATAGGGGTAAGTAGAGGAGTATGTCGCCATTAGGCAACCACTTGGCTTGGATGGCTTAATTCCAAAGGACCAAATACACCATATATCTGTTGAAAGAAAAGTAGTAGAAAACGACCCGCGGCTCAGCAGAAATATAGTAATAAACAATAACAACAATAAAAGCCAAAATGTTGTTTAATTATTGACTAATGCAAAACTAATCAAGCCAAACTCACTATCAGTCAATCGAATCTTGTCGAATCGCTGCGATATTTATTCAAAGGAATTACAGTGTTGTTCTCATGCTTGACTTGTTTTTTTCTTAACTATTCAAATTACTTAGAATTTTATATTTATTAATTATAATGAAATTGTAGATATGTTGAAAACTCAATTTCTCAAATAATTTTACTATATTTATTATAATCGGTTTGCTTGTTGATTTTAAATAAAAAAATATTTTAAATATTTTTCTTTTAAATTATATACGGATAATATGATTCGATGAGTGGTGGTACCAACCTGCCCACAAAACGACGATTCTCTTTTCTAGCCCTATATAGTAATGTGATTCCTGAAGTAAGCTTCAGCTCTTCCAGTCTTGTTGTGTGCTTCAATTACTCAAGAGGAAGGAACCTACATTCGCAGGTCCTGTCTCCCAAGAGAGAATCTCTTTCTCTTTCTCTTTCTCCGAGGGCTATACATTACTGACGCAATCTCACGTGTAAATTTCTGCAGCTCTGTTTGGTTCTTTCCCCCTTTCTTTCTTCTTCTTCTTCTTCTTCTTCTTCGCAGGGAGAAGGAGATCGAGATGATGATAAAAGGGGGGACGTTATTTGTTTGGTCATTACGCTCGCTTCGCTATTAGCTAAGCCTAGCTTCTTGGTTTTCCCTGTCTTTTCTGCCTCCACTACTGTGACGCAAGAAAACCCCACCTTTTCCTTTCCCTGTCTTATTGCCCAAAAGGTGTTCGATCTTTTGCCTCAAAGAAGTGAGAACCAAAATTAAACCTCTCTCTCTCCCCCCATTATGGCGCTGGAAGCGGCGATCTACTCGCAAGACCCCTTTGGTTACCCACCATTATTCAAGGATTACTATGGTTATAATGGCTTCCACCAACAACAAGAAGATGATCAGGGTGCCATCAACAGATCGCCGCCCCTCGTCATCCTCGACGACAAAATATTAATGTTCAACGATTCCACCACCACTACTTCTCCACCACCGCCTACGCAGCAGCCGATTCATGGAATTACGAGCAGCTACTACTGCTGGGAGGATTGTTTTTACTCCCCCGAGCCCTGCACTAACGCCTTCGACGACGTCGCATTTTTCAACCCGCCACCTGTGACGGCGTCCGCATCCGTTGCCCCCGCACGGCGGAAGCGGCAGCGGACCAAGAACGCGAGGAACAGAGAGGAGGTAGAGAGCCAGAGGATGACTCACATCGCGGTGGAGCGCAACCGCAGGAAGCAGATGAACGACTACCTCGCCTTGCTTCGCTCGCTCATGCCGCCTTCCTACGTTCAAAGGGTCGGTCGATGATCGATCGGCTTAATCCATTCCTCCCTCCGGGGCTTGAATCCGAAATTTAATTTTTTTTTTTTAAGTTGGACTGAATTGTAAATTTATATTCTTTTGGGGTTCAGGGAGACCAAGCTTCGATAATTGGAGGAGCAGTTAACTTCGTCAAGGAGCTGGAGCAGCTGCTGCAGGCTATGGAAGCTCAGAAAGCGGCTAATCATCATCAACAACACGACGATGATGAGGGTCATGAAAAATTGGCTAATAACGGCCTTTCGTCGTTATTTTCCGACTTCTTCGCCTTCCCGCAATACTCAGCTCGAAAGGTTATTCATTCGCCGGCGGACAGTTTGGGTGGTGTAGCCAGAGAGGCGGCGGTTGGAGAGATAGAAGTGACGATGGTGGATTGTCACGCTAACGTCAAGATTCTGGTAAGGAAACAACAGAGACAGCTAGTGAAGCTTGTTGATGGGCTGCAGGGACTCGGCTTCACGATTCTTCATCTTAATGTTACCGCCACCAGTACCGGCTCAGATCAAACGGTTCTCTACTCGCTTAGCTTCAAGGTGGAGGAAGGGTGCCGTCTGATCACGGCGGATGAGATCGCAGCGGCCCAGGGGCGGACCTATGTTATAGGGTGGTGTGTCAATTGACACACCTCCAAAAAAAAATTCGATAAAAAAGTAAGGTTCGTCAGTACTAAAATTCGAATACAAAACCTCTTGACACAGCTCTATAGTAGACTCATAATCATTCCATCAGATTAGGAACATATTATTGTTATAACTTTGCTAAAGAACGTATTGTATACAGAAATTTATTAATGTGTAAATAATTTCCTTATACGGAAATCCTCCACCCAATTCCAATTTTGATTGTAATAGAACTAATATCCTTATAAAAGAAAGGGTAAATACAATTTAATATCCAAACCTTTCATTTTAAACAATATAATAGCCAAACCTTTTCGAAAACAATCTAATATCCAAATCGTCAACTTTTCGTTCGTTTGACCGTTAGTTGACACTTCAAAAAAGCTTTGTTTAGGAGAAATTGTCACAATACAACTTTGTTTTCTTGTTTTGGCATTGCAGATGACTGAATATTTAGATATTCTATACCATCATGGTGGAGTCATGGACTTCTCGGGTTTGGAACTATGATATGTTGGTGGTTTTTCAGAGAAGATATCGATGGATATTGATGAAGTGTCGTACTTCGAACTTTTTTGAAGTGTCAACTAACGGTCAAACAGACAGAAAGTTGACGATTTGGATATTAAATTGTTTTCGAAAAGGTTTGGCTATTATATTGTTTAAAATGAAAGGTTTTGATATTAAATTGTATTTACCCTAAAAGAAACCCTATACCTATCTCGATTACAATTTATAAATGAAACCAAAAACTCTCTCACATGCACAGGACAATCCCTCTTCCTTTCTCTTCTCACACCGCCGGCAAAGTAAGCGGCTACATTTATCATGTCAAGCAAGATGAGACCTTCAAGGGACTGCGAGGAATCGATGAGCTAGCTAGGCGAATGGTGGAGACAGGAAAGGATACTACTTGGCCATTGGTGTACTTTCAGAGTATGGAAAGCCGTCTTGGCTCATTGTAAGAAATGAGAACTTTTATAATTTATGAATTATTTTTATTTTTTAATTTTATTATATTGAACCACCTCTCTAAGAATCCTGGGTCCGCCACTGCAGCGGCCGTCAACCAAATGCTACGGCGGATTGAAGAAGCTAAGGAAGTTGCTATCAAGAATGCTAGCTAGCTGCTTATTTAGACTAATTAATTAAGCAGCTGTGAGCCTGCACTTATAATAATTATCTTGATTTTGGTCGTGGTGAATTTACTTGGTGTACGTTGTTTTCTTACTTCTTAATTAGCAATAGTTATACCTCTATTATTATTACGTGGACATTATTGTTGGGAATCTGTCAACAAAGTTAATAGTCAAGGTTTTAGGTTTGTCTATATTAGCTCGAAAATTCACGCCATACTATAAACGCATTTTTATTTAGTTAGTAACCAAATTTCATTCCAATTTGTTTTATTAAGAGTGGGTATATATAGAGAAAGTGTGTTACATTATTTTGGGGAAACAGAATATACTCTCATCAGGGCTTTTCAACCAAAAAAAACAAGCTAAATTTGTCCCATTGGGAATTTGGTTGTGTGGAGAACTGACTATGCACCAGAGAGAGGACTGGGCCAAACATAATTAGTTTATTTGTAAATATAACAACTTGTTGTTGCAACAGACTTTTTAGTTAATTAACTGTATTGTGTATATATATCGGAGGGAGATGATAAATACTCAATTCCTAAAAGTAGTGAAGAATGTATATATATCGGAAATTAACAACTTCTTATACATCCAGAATGTATAATATTGCACATAATATTATGTGCAATAATCACATTGTGACAGAGTTATCTATTTATTTTATTTTATTGCATTGAAGTTTGCAGAATGTCTCATGCTTGCTTTGAACTTGTGACATCTACCACCTCTTTGAATAGTGATTCATCCAAAGTTTGATGAATAAAATGTGAGTGTTTATTGATCACCCTTTTTATGGGTAATTAGCATAAAAGATCATAAACCTATTTACTTTGTACAAAATGGTTACAAACCTTTCATTTTGAACAGAAAAAAATGAAACGGATTGACAATAATACGAATACGAAAGTTTTAAACCAATAAAATACATACAAGTACATATATATATAAGTGTATTCAACGAAATATTTACTAACTATGGTACCAACACCAGATGCGTCAATAAAAATAATGATGGATAACAATTGAATAAGAACATTTGATCTTTTGATGTGGAAGTTCGCACTCTAATACTACTAACCGTTGCTCTTAGCCTTAGTCATATATGATATAACTGGAAGTTGTAACATACATCTCTGATCAAGCCAGATCTCATCATGTGATCTGATCCAAATCATGAACGCCATCAGATTTATTTCTTAAGGGGAAAGGGGAGAAATTCTTCGGTGGTCCGGGAGCACCACGTTGGAAGGTTGAGTTGGTGCTCCCGACCAATTACTTGCTGCCACGTGGATAACAATTATAATTAAACAATTATCTCTTTTATTTTCGTTCTCATCTTCCTCGCTTCATGAAAGGGGAAACGATTCCACTTCCCAGTCCCCACTAAACAACTAACCCCAAATTACAAGATGAAGAGAGAAATATAAACGGAGCTCAAAGGACAGAAGTCTGAAGTGGATCCCTGAAACAAACACCAAAAGTATCATTAACATCTAAGAAATTTCAATTAATTGCGGCCCTTCAATCACCATCGGAATCGCTGCAGGTTTGATACCCTTCGATCCAGCCCTGCTTTTCCTTGACTCTGCTGCCCGCTTGTCGTCGTACATACAGTCATCGTTGTCGGCCTCCTCATCACTCTCCCGCGTACATGCAGCCTCCGCTGCCGTCAGAATGGGTTAGGGGGGTTTTGATTGAAGATGATCCCGCTGGGAACTAATTGGACAGAGTAAGGGGGATTCTGTGAATTAATTGGACCAGGGCGATATGTATGACTGAGAAAGAATGAGTTGGTGCGTCAATTTACAATGGATTTGATAGATTTGAAGGAGAATTGAGATCGAATTGGATATGCAATACAGATTTTACTCGAGCTCCACCGCCATTTGCATGGACTGTAAATCGCACACAGCGGCAGCCGGCGATGACAACTTTCAAGATGAATCATATAATGGAAATCTTTACAAGATTCTCACACTAGCTTCCAGGAACCCAATCGAATTCAAAATGAGATTTCTCAATCTCGTTGCAAACACCAGCAAAATAAAAAAGAAGTTACAGAAGAGAGAGAGAAAAAATGTCCAGAGGAGGAAGATGGACCCGAAGGAGATGATAATGAAAATAATAGATTTATAATTGTTATCCACGTGGCAACAAATAATTGGCCGGGAGCACCAACTCAGCCTTCCAACGTGGTGCTCCCGGACCACTGAAGAATTTCTCCGGTAGGGCATGCATGAGAAATTAATTTGTAGGCATACATATTACCCTTTCCCCGAGAAATTCTTCAGTGGTCCGGGAGCACCACGTTGGAAGGCTGAGTTGGTGCTCCCGGCCAATTATTTGTTGCCACGTGGATAACAATTATAAATCTATTATTTTCATTATCATCTCCTTCGGGTCCATCTTCCTCCTCTGGACATTTTTTCTCTCTCTCTTCTGTAACTTCTTTTTTATTTTGCTGGTGTTTGCAACGAGATTGAGAAATCTCATTTTGAATTCGATTGGGTTCCTGGAAGCTAGTGTGAGAATCTTGTAAAGATTTCCATTATATGATTCATCTTGAAAGTTGTCATCGCCGGCTGCCGCTGTGTGCGATTTACAGTCCATGCAAATGGCGGTGGAGCTCGAGTAAAATCTGTATTGCATATCCAATTCGATCTCAATTCTCCTTCAAATCTATCAAATCCATTGTAAATTGACGCACCAACTCATTCTTTCTCAGTCATACATATCGCCCTGGTCCAATTAATTCACAGAATCCCCCTTACTCTGTCCAATTAGTTCCCAGCGGGATCATCTTCAATCAAAACCCCCCTAACCCATTCTGACGGCAGCGGAGGCTGCATGTACGCGGGAGAGTGATGAGGAGGCCGACAACGATGACTGTATGTACGACGACAAGCGGGCAGCAGAGTCAAGGAAAAGCAGGGCTGGATCGAAGGGTATCAAACCTGCAGCGATTCCGATGGTGATTGAAGGGCCGCAATTAATTGAAATTTCTTAGATGATAATGATACTTTTGGTGTTTGTTTCAGGGATCCACTTCAGACTTCTGTCCTTTGAGCTCCGTTTATATTTCTCTCTTCATCTTGTAATTTGGGGTTAGTTGTTTAGTGGGGACTGGGAAGTGGAATCGTTTCCCCTTTCATGAAGCGAGGAAGATGAGAACGAAAATAAAAGAGATAATTGTTTAATTATAATTGTTATCCACGTGGCAGCAAGTAATTGGTCGGGAGCACCAACTCAACCTTCCAACGTGGTGCTCCCGGACCACCGAAGAATTTCTCGCCCTACCGTACCCACTTGGTAGGCAAGATCAGAATTCTTTGGTTTGCGTAGAATGCGGGCGATTCACATGCTAAGATCCATAATTAGGGTACACTGATTACCAAATTGACTAATTAATTAGTATTAAAATTTTAAATCAGGTACAATTTTAGAAAGGATTCCTTATTATAATTATATTCCCTTTTCTGCTAGCTTCATCCAACATCTCTATCGACTTTGCTGATGTTAATTAATATGTAATCATGTATATGTGACAAGTGCTCTCAGAAAATATACTGTTTTGGTTTTGTCTTTCTCATTGTCTTTCTCTATAACCACTGGACAGCTGGACTTGCCGCGTTACCTTAACATAAAGAAAACTTTAGGATCATAAGCAGAAGACTATCCATTCATTACGTTTACGGGTTATATTTTCAGAAAATTAATGAAACTGAAAATTTACCCGCATTATATTCGACCCGGTTTATGTGGGTTCAAATATACAGTTCGATGCATAATTTGGTGCTTGCTATATGAACCAAACTTGTGTACACTCCTGCGGTCTCGGTAGAAATAAATAATAACAATAATAAGCCAAAATTGGTGGTTTAATTATTTAATTGTTAGTGCAAAACTAATGAAGCAGAAGCACCTCATTATCAGTAAATCGAATCTTTGTTGAATTACGACATATATTTACTGAGGGTACATATATAAATAATATTCAAAGGAATGACAGTTGTTCGTGTAATGGCGACATCCCAAGTCTGGGCCACACCCCCTGCCTGTCGACCGCAAAACGACACTTCTCTATTTCTAGCCTTGTAGAATATATAATAATGTGATTCCTGAAAATGAAGAGCTTATTATTATTATGCTCTTCTCTCTGTACCTCAATATAATTACTCAGAAGAAGGAACCACATTCGCAGGTCCAGTCGAGAATCTCTTTCTCTTTCTCTCCCACAGTTACAGACGCAACCTCACGTGCAAATCCCTGCACAGCTCTTTTTGCTTCTTTCCCCTTACAAAGCTGTCCACCTTTCCCCCCTTCTTCTTCTTCTTCTTCTTCGCAGGGGAAAGGAGAGCGAGTTGATGATAAAAGGGGGCTTCTTCTTCTCTCTTACCCTTCACTTCTTAATCGGTTCTCTTCTTCTTCTTCGTCGCTGTAGCTACTTGTAATAAAGGTTGCAGCTTGGTGGGTAGTAGTTGTTTTTTCCCCCATGTATACCGTCTTTGTTTGACTACTGTTTCCCCTGTCTCTCTCTGCCTCCATCACTGTGACACAATAGCAAACCCGCCTGCCTTTTCAGTTTGCCTCTCTCTGTCCCTTGCCCGAAAGGTGTTCCTTCTTTTTTTACCTTTTTCTCCTATGGCGCTGGAAGCTGCGATCTACTCGCAAGACCCGTTTGGTTACCCACCATTATTCAAGGACCAGTACTATGGCTATGGCATCCAGCAAGAAGAAGAAGAAGAAGAGGACAAAATAATGTTCAACGATTCCATCGCCACATTTTTCAACCCCCCGCCGCCGCAGGCGGAAGATGTGGTACTGGGTTCCGCATCCGTTGCTCCCGCACGGCGGAAGCGGCGGCGGACCAATAACACGAAGAAGAACAAGGAGGAGGTAGAGAGCCAGAGGATGACTCACATCGCCGTGGAGCGCAACCGCAGGAAACAGATGAACGAATACCTCGCCTTGCTTCGCTCTCTCATGCCCTCTTCCTACGTTCAAAGGGTCAGTTTAATTTGTTTGATTCATCAGGCTCCAATCCTCAATTTTAGTATATATAAAAAAAAAATATGTGGACTAAACTGTAATTTTTTTTGGGGGTTCAGGGAGACCAAGCTTCGATAATTGGAGGAGCGATTAATTTCGTCAAGGAGCTGGAGCAGCTGCTGCAGGCGATGCAAGCTCAGAAAGAGGCTAAACACCAACAACATGCTCAAAACGACGACGGTCAGGCAGGGTTGACTGATAACGGCCGTTTGTCGCCGTCGCCGTTGTTTGCCGAGTTTTTCGCTTTCCCGCAGTACTCAACTCGGGACCCGACCTTGCAGGCTCAGTCGCCCGCCGGCGACGGGATGGCCGACAAGTTGGGTGGTGTAGCGAGGGAGGCGGCGGCGGCGGTTGGAGAGATAGAAGTGGCGATGGCGGAGAGTCACGCCACCGTGAAGATTCTGGCCAGGAAACAGCAGAGGCAGCTGGTGAGGCTGGTTGCTGGGATGCAGGGACTCGGGTTCACGATTCTGCACCTCAACGTTACCACCAGTACCGGCTCAGATCAAACGGTTCTCTACTCGCTTAGCTTCAAGGTGGAGGAAGTGTGCCGTCTGAACACGGTGGATGAGATCGCAGCTGCCGTCAATCAAATGTTACGGCGGATTGAGGAAGGAAGCTAGCTGGTTGATTTAGATTTAATTAAGCTGTAACGAACTTCTATTATTTACTTTGGTTTTTTTGGTCATGGTGGTGACTGGCGAATTTACTTTTGGTTCTGTGTTATTCTTAGCAATCATAATATATACCACTATAATTACCTTTCAATTTGTTTTCTTAAAGAGTGGGAAAATATAGGGAAGGTGTTAAATTATTTTGGGAGGAATATATTCTCTCTTCAGGACTTTTCAGCAATAAACACAAGCTAAGTTTGTCGCATTTGGAATTTTGGTTGTGTGGAGAAATGAATATGCCTCAGAGAACTGGTTTGGCCCCGTACTGCAGATAAAAAGAAAAAGAAAATGGCAGGAACATAACTAGTTTAACACATTTTGTGTAATAATAATTTGTTGGAACAGAATCTTTAGTTAATTAACTGTTTTATGTGTGTATATATATAGGACGAAATGAAAACTCAGCTCCTTAAAGTAAGTGACGAATGTGCATAAGTATGAACTTACAGCATCTTCTACATCCAAGTTTCACACACGTCATCATCACAAAATGGCCAGCGAGGTAGCCTCTGTTATTAAGTCTTTTTTTAGGAAAAAAATCTGTAATTAAGGTTCAATATTACGAGAGGAGCCATTGCAATGTTATGAGAATTTCTGGGCTCATTTACTTTATTAATTAGTTCGTAAAATTTTTATTATTTGAGAGATATTAAGTACGGTTAATTGTTTTCATTATTCTAGAAGGATTTGGATAGTTATTAGTATTGGTTTTGAATTTGATTATTGTTTCCTTATGGGAAAAATATTCATCTTTTAGATAAGAGAAATGAGATGTTCCATGTACTTGTCCATTCGTTTAATGGCATGACAAAATTGAAATCTAAATAGCTATCTTATTGTCTTTCTTTTATTGCGAGCTTCTTAGTTTCTTCAAGCGGTTATTTAATTCCTTTCAAGTATTGAATACTTGTCATATCCCCACAATACTTTGTCATTTTTACACAATAAGATTTTTGGTCATTCACCAAACATGTTCATGATCATGTGGTAATCACTATGATGAACGAGGGCTCGTCTGGTCACCGGTAGTACTATCAATGATTTTGATCATAAATGTTGCATGTTGGAATTACTTAAATAGCACATAACAACACAAAATAAACATATTTCACCTGTGTAAAAAAAAAAAAAAACATATCTACACTATCATGTTTTCATACATATACTATCATGTTATAATATCACTACTATCACCTGCGCGCACCCACTTTGACCCTGGTCGGTGAGAAAAACGAGTCGCACGCACCTGCTGGGTTGACCGCTACAAGGTATCAGGTTGTAGGTCAAATTATATCATTTTTTTCTTTGGTTTGCGAAATACGCCTATTTTCCGATTTTTCTTTTCGCCTAACTCAATCTTTGGAATCCTAAGTTGAACATTTGAATATTGATGTTATAGAAGTCTGTGTGAATTTTCACTATATGTTGGATCTAAGTACCACATGTTATTTTGGTGAATATTATATGTTATAACTCATATGTTAGATGAGATTTGATATTATTTATCAGAATAAGTACAATATAATCACTCTTTCCATATTTCGGGCTAAATCAAGCTAAACCGATTGACCTAATAACCCTTGACCCACTAACTCGACCGCATTCGAATCAGCCTGCGGGGTGACAACCTTGCGTCAAACAGATATTTTTGCCTCGTTTCTGGCTTTCCGCCCGTTTTCTGGGTGTGAATCACTATTTATCTCTATCTATGTGTGAGAGCTACTGTTGCTCTCCGTCTTAATCGGAGTTTTTCTTCTGGGAGCAATCTTTTCTCTTTTGGTCTCTCAACCTGCTTCTGTATTATTGCCCTTTTCTGTGTCTTGCTGGATCCTGCAATACAGTGTGGAGTTTGTTCTATTTCTCCACTTGGAAATTTTTAAAATTTATCCCCCACGGACGGGAAATGTACCTAAATACAATAAGAATTAAAAAAATTCTTAAACTACCGCACTTGTCGCAATACCTTAGTTTGGGGTAGTTCGAGATAGAGTGAATCGAACCATTATTGGGATCGATCCATATCGATTTAGAGAGTCTCGATCCACTTTCTAAAGTACAGGATAGAGTCAGACTGGCTCGAGTCTCTATGTTGAAATTTTCAATGACCTTAACTTTGTGCTCGGTTATCCGATCGTAGTGAATTTTTTTTTATTGCGCATAACTTTTCGAGAACTATAACTTTTTTCATATAAATATTTTCAGAATGCATGTAAAAATTAAAACTAAATTTATTTTCAAAACCCCTTATATCCAAAAATATTTCCTATTTTCGAAAATTTCTTCCCAGTAGTAGCACTAAAAAATTTATGCAAAATAAAAACTAACTTTGATATGATAAGATTACGGAAGAAATTGAATTCAAGAAGAATTAATGGATGTCATCTGGAGACTTGATTTTTATATCTTTTCAACTCTTCCTAATCCAGAATGGAAAAGGTCGTTACGAATAGGGGTGTGCAATGGTCCGGTCCATACCGGACCACATCGGACCAAACTGTTGTTAAGACCGGATCGAATCAGACCGAGTAAAATGCGGTTCGGTCCTTGGTCCTCATGAATTTTATAATTACTGAATAAATGATGGACCGAGCTCATATTTGGACCGGACCGAACCGGATCAAATGGACCAAATGCAAGAATGGTCCGGTCCTTGGTCCTAACATGTCTTTCACTAATGGACCGCGGTTCTCACGAGTTTGGTCCGGTCCGGACCAAACCGAACCGTTGCACACCCCTAGTTACGAACCATCGCTGTTGTTGACCGCTCGCGATTGGGGTCGGCTGAATGTCCTGGACTTTTTGTAGGATTAGGCCCATATATAACAGACCTGCTACACGTTCAGTCAGCTTCTATCTTAATATACTTGTGTGCTTCGCTTATGGGTTGGCCCAAACAATTTGAGCTGATGTTTTAAAACTAAAAAGCGCAGTTAAATCTCAAAGCCCACACATCACTTGTTATTACGTGTTTAGTCTCTACTGTTGAGTCAGGTGTTGCTAGCTTTCATTAGTTGGTGCAGCAAACTAGTACTTAGCCATGATTGTCCATAACGATAATCCTCCAAATACATAGAGGGAGAACTAGGCTGCTGTTTTGGTTGCCCTGAGAGTTGGGTGGCTTGTGCATTATAACTGATTACTATGTCTTGGTCCATTACTCTCAGTCTCAAAGATTCCATGAAAATGATCAAATTAAGAACAAACTGACAAGAAACCAACAAGATATGGGGCTGAATCTAAAATTGAAAATTTGGATCGGCAGTAGATAGGATAATGAAAATGGACTATCTAATAAGCTTCGAATATCGAAGAGCCATTTTCATACATAATCATCTCATTAGATTTTAGTCAAGAAATAGAAGTGGAAGTTGAGTCATTTAACACATTGAGTGGATGTGGACACATGGAGTCTAGTGTGCTGTGCATGATCGAGTAAGTATCCAAAACACTTGTTGCGGGCAGAAGAAGAACAAGTTGGCCACTTGGAGGGGAATCTAATAAATAAGTTCTTTCGGCACAAATTGACAACATAATAAGGTTGTCAAACCGGTTTATGCTAGTGTGCCGGTTTAGCAAGTGGAATGGTTCGACCGGTGGCACATATCTGTTTGTGCCGGTTCATGCCGGTCAATATTACAAATAAAATTATAAATACTCATATTTAAACATGACATTTAATGTCAATATCTAAACATTTATACTTGAATCCAACAAATAACATCAATACTTAACTTTTATACTTATAAAATAAATAATAAAATAATTTTTATCAATTAAATTTACTACAATAAGGTCATTTTACTTAGACATTCGTATATCGATCATGCCGGTCATACCGGTGGTGTCACGCCGGTTTCATGACCGGTACCGGTTGAACCAGGTACAACCGGTGGCACGCCGACAGGCGTGACAACATGCAACATATATATATTTCCCCCATTTTTTAAAATAATTTCATTGATAGTCATTTAGCATAAATTCAAAATAGTTGGTAGGAATAATAATTCCAATAATTACACCTCAGCACTCAACAATGAACAACCTTAGGGAAGTCCTTCTCCATGCTCACTCACTCATAACTAGACATGTATATTGAGCATGTTACAACGTATCAATTATTCTCTGTTTTCAATAGTTGCACAAATTTAACGACTTCTAATTTGAGATTGGCAACTTAGAATAGAGCAGGTTTACATAGAAGTGAATTTTATAATCGATAACTTGATTTTTATAAGATCATTCATTACTTATTCAGAAAGCACATTCACATCATATTGTAACTTAATAAATTCAAGATATGCATTACGGTCAGATACTTTGGGTGTTCTCTTTTTTTTTTTAAAAAAAATGAAACAATCACATAACCTCCAAAATGCTGGTGATTATTATCCATTTTCCTAATTTTCAATTGGCCAAATTAGACGATAATCACCAATTATAACAGAAAGCGACAAAATCCCCTCGAAAAAGCTCTTTTATTTTTAAATTTTAATTAATTTTGACCACTTCTTCAAAATCCTCGAAGAGCCGCTTACTACCTCTCTCTCTCCCCTCCTACCAAACCCTTTCCTTTCTGCGCCTCTCTTTTTTCGCGTCCGATTGTTGTTGTTTTCCCCCATTTCCTCCGGCCACCGTCTCTCCTCAGTCGCTGAAATGGCTGTGTCTTCCACCCTATGCCCTAAGCTTTCCGCATCCGCCGCAGGCGGCTTTGCGTCTTCCTTCCAGTGCCGCTCTGATCCTTCCGGAAACCACCACCAGACAAGACCCGGCGGATTCTCCTCCTCCTCCTCACGAGTCAAGTCCGTTGGTGTTCATGGATCTTTCCTCACCGGCGGTGGTGGTGCCGGCTACGGGATGTCGTCGTCTCTCATCCTGAAGTTCCCTCCCAATTTCGTTCGCCAGCTCAGCAATAAGGCTCGCCGTAACTGCAGCAACATCGGCGTCGCGCA